GGGGGGTGAGGAGGGGGTCAGAGGATAGGATGGGAGGCAATGAGGGTAAGGGGAGAAAGGGAGCTTGTAGGTTGCGGATCGGGTCATGGAATATAGGCACGCTGACGGGTAAGTCTATTGAGCTAGCGAAGATTCAACAGAAAAGAGGAGTAAATATAGCTTGTGTCCAGGAAACAAGGTGGGTAGGGTCGAAGGCGAGGAATGTGTACTGGTATAAGCTGTGGTACTCTAGAGTCGTGAAGGGTAAGAATGAAGTGGGTATCTTGGTTGATAGGGACCTTAGAGAGTCGGTGGTTGAGGTTAGGCGGGTGCATAACAGACTAATGTTTATTAAGTTGGTGATAGGTGAGTGCACCCTCAATGTCGTTAGTGCCTACGCGCCACAAGCGGGCTTGGATGAGGAGGTTAAAAGGCATTTCTGGGAGAGTTTGGACGAGGTTGTGCGTAATATTCCACCCTCTGAGAGGTTATTTATAGGAGGGGATTTCAATGGCCACATTGGGTCGGTTGCTGGTGACTATGGTGAGGTGCATGGTGGCTTCGTCTTTGGGGATAGGAACAGAGGAGGTTCCTCGCTATTGGATTTCCCTAAGGCTTTCGAGCTGGTGATTGCGAACTCGAGTTTTCCGAAGAGGGAAGAGCATCTAGTAACTTTCTGAAGTTCAATTGTGAAAACTCATATTGATTACCTCCTCCTCAGAAGGTGTTATAGAGGGTTGTGCAGGGATTGCAAGGTTATCCCGGGTGAGACCCTCGCGACCCAGCATAGGCTCTTGGTTATCCCAGGAAGAAGAGGTATGCTCGTGGTCAACCGAGGATTAGGTGGGGAGCCTTAACTAAGGATAAAGCCCAGGAGTTGGAGGGGAGGTTATCGGTTATGGGAGAATGGAGGAGTAGTGAGGACGCCAATGCTATGTGGGCTACGACGGCGAATTGCATTAGGGAGGCAGCAAGAGAGGTGCTAGGGATTTCGAAGGGTCACTCTGGCAGGCACCAAGGCAACTAGTGGTGGAATGACATAGTCCAAGGCAAAGTGGAGGTGAAGAAGGAAGCGTATACAAAGTTGGTAGGGAGCACATGCGAGGAGGAGAGGAGAGCGAATAGAGAGAGGTACAAACACGGAGGCTAAGAATGCACCATTTGGCCGACTGTATGAGGAATTTGGGGAGAAAGGCGGGGATAAAAATTTGTTTCGATTGGATAAAGAGAGGGAGAGGAAGGCTTAGGATCTGGATCAAGTGAAGTGCATCAAAGACGAGGACGGTAGAGTCTTGATGGGGGAGTCCCAAATTAAAAAGAGATGGAAGATGTACTTTCAGGGTCTTCTAAATGAGGAAGGGGACTGTGATATAGTGCTAGGGGATCTGGGGCATTCAGAGAGTCTCCGAGACTTTGGGTATTGTAGGCGTATTAAGTTGGAGGAGGTCGTGGGGGCTATGCGTAAGATGAGTCGGGGCAGAGCGACCGGGCCAGATGAAATTCCGGTTGAGTTCTGGAAGTATGTGGGTAGAGCAGGCTTGGAGTGGTTGACTGGGCTATTTAATGTTATTTTCAGGACGAAGAGGATGCCAGATGAGTGGAGGTGGAGTACAGTGGTTCCATTGTACAAGAACAAAGGTGATATTCAGTGTTGTAACAACTATAGGGGTATCAAGTTACTAAGTCATACCATGAAAGTTTGGGAGAGGGTAGTGGAGGCGAGGGTGAGGAATATAGTGTCTATATCTGACAACCAGTTCGGGTTCATGCCGGGTCGCTCGACCACGGAAGCTATCCATCTTATTAGGAGGTTGGTGGAACAGTACAGGGATAGGAAGAAAGATTTGCACATGGTGTTTATTGACATGGAGAAAGCGTATGACAAGGTCCCTAGGGAGGTGCTATGGAGGTGTCTGGAGATAAAAGGTGTGCCGGTAGCTTATGTTAGAGCGATCAAGGACATGTATGATGGAGCTAAGACTAGGGTAAGGACTGTGGGAGGCGACTCTGAGTATTTCCCGGTTGTTATGGGGTTACACCAAGGATCAACACTTAGCCCGTTCTTATTTGCCTTAGTAATGGATGCACTAACCCACCATATTCAAGGGGAAGTGCCATGGTGTATGTTATTCGCTGGTGACATAGTAATGATTGATGAGACGCGGGACGATGTTAATGAGAGGTTGGAGGTTTGGAGACAGGCTCTCGAGTCTAAGGGTTTCAAATTGAGCAGGACTAAGACGGAGTACCTGGAGGGCAAGTTCAGCGCCGAGTCGAGGGAAGTAGGCATGGATGTGAGGCTTGGATCACAGGTCATCCCCAATAGAGGTAGTTTCAAGTACCTTGGGTCGGTTATTCAAGGGGATAGAGAGATTGACGAGGATGTCACCCACCGCATAGGAGTGGGGTGGACGAAATGGAGGCTAGCATCTGGAGTCTTATGTGACAAGAAAGTGCCACCGATACTCAAAGGTAAGTTTTATAGGGCGGTGGTTAGTCCGGCCATGTTGTATGGGGCAGAGTGCTGGCCAGTTAAGAACTCTCATATCCAGAAGATGAAGGTATCTGAGATGAGGATGTTGAGGTAGATGTGCGGGCACACTAGGATAGATAAGATTAGGAATGACGATATTCAAGAGAAGGTAGGTGTGGCCTCTGTGGAATACAAGATGCGGGAAACAAGACTCAGATGGTTCGGGCACGTGTGGAGAAGAAGCCTGGATGCTCCGGTGAGGAGGTGTGAGCTGCTCGCTTTAGTGGGTTCGAGAAGAGGTAGAGGACGACCTAAGAAGTATTGGGGAGAGGTGATCAGGTAGGAGCTGGCACAATTGCAGATTTCCGAGGACATGGCCCTTGATAGGAAGGTTTGGAGGTCGAGCATTAGGGTTGTAGGATAGGGTGGTAGTCGAGCTTCTCCTCATCCGTTCCAGGGGTGAAGCGAGTTTGAGTAGGTTGGTCCTATACATGCTTGTGGTTAATGTAGAGTTCACACTAACCTTACTATTTTCCATAGCTCTAGACCTTAGTTGTGGGTTATGGTTCCATAGCTCCTCCATTCCGGGGGTGAAGCGAGTTTGAGTAGATTGGTCCTAGACAGGCTTGTGGTTAATGTAGAGTTCACACTAACCTTACTGTTTTCCATAGCTCTAGACCTTAGTTGTGGGTTATGTTTCCATAGCTCCTCCATTCCGGGGGTGAAGCGAGTTTGAGTAGGTTGGTCCTAGACAGGCTTGTGGTTAATGTAGAGTTCACACTAACCTTACTGTTTTCCATAGCTCTAGACCTTAGTTGTGGGTTATGTTTCCATAGCTCCTCCATTCCGGGGGTGAAGCGAGTTTGAGTAGGTTGGTCCTAGACAGGCTTGTGGTTAATGTAGAGTTCACACTAACCTTACTGTTTTCCATAGCTCTAGACCTTAGTTGTGGGTTATGTTTCCATAGCTCCTCCATTCCGGGGGTGAAGCGAGTTTGAGTAGGTTGGTCCTAGACAGGCTTGTGGTTAATGTAGAGTTCACACTAACCTTACTGTTTTCCATAGCTCTAGACCTTAGTTGTGGGTTATGTTTCCATAGCTCCTCCATTCCGGGGGTGAAGCGAGTTTGAGTAGGTTGGTCCTAGACAGGCTTGTGGTTAATGTAGAGTTCACACTAACCTTACTGTTTTCCATAGCTCTAGACCTTCGTTGTGGGTTATGGTTCCATAGCAAATGCACAATTTCAATAAATTACTCTATTCATAGAAATACTAGGAGTGTCTATATTCTTGATTTCCCATGTGAATTATTATTATCTTATGTTCATGGGTCACACAATAATACGCAGTTGAAAAGGTTTATGCGGAAGGAATATTGAGATTTTTACATATTTTTCATGCATTTCAACCATTTATACATGTGCATTGACCCATGACCAGATGACGTTATAAACGCGTATATATGTAAATATATGTATATGGGATATGGGAAAAGGTTACGGCGTTATATATGCACCACCACCTGATCAGTTGGTACATGTTGATGATGTTGCCCACAATGGCCGAGACGATATGATGGGATCCCTTAGTGACTTGATGATATTATGTAACCATACCTATGCATGACACGACATTTATACACACGTGCATGACATTATAAATGTTTCAGAATTTACAAAGTCATTCAAATTTAAAGATGTGTTTCTTTATTCCATGTTTCACCTATGTCTTTTACGTACTAATTTTCATGCCTTACATACTCAGTACACTTTTCGTACTGACGCCCTATTTCACGGGGCCTGTGTTTCATGCCCGCAGGTGCAGTTAGACAAGCTGGCGGTCCCCCATCTTAGGATCCCTGATCAACAAGAGTTGGTGTGCTCCACTTGATTCGGAGCTGCTTTTGGTTTTGGTACGATACGTTTTTATATATATACGGGTATGAGGTAGCTTAGTCCCGTCTTTGTACAGTTATGTTTCTATTAGAGGTCTGTAGACAACCTTGTCGGTTCGACCTACATATGTTGTACGTATATGTATGTATGCCTTTTTGGGAAGATTTCCTTCATGTACTTTATTCTTGTAATTCAACAGATGTTATTCAGGTTTATATCTTAGACGCATGCTTAGGGGTGTTTGATAAGTAGGACTCAGGCACCCGTCGCGGATCATCGGTTAAGGTCGTGACAGTTTCAGAGGATAGAGATTCCAAACTGGAAATGGGAGCAGATCACCATGGATTTTGCAGTTGGGCTCCCATGGACTTCGAGAAAGTTCGATGCTATTTGGGTGATCATGGATCGGCCGACCAAGTCCGCACACTTTATTCTGGTTGGGACTACTTATTATTCAGAACGGTTGGCTGAGATTTATATTTGCGAGAATGTTCACCTTTACGGTGTGCTATTGTCCATTATTTCTAATCGGGGCACGTAGTTTACATCGTAGTTTTGGAGAGCAGTACAACGAGATTTGGGCACCCAGGTTGAGTTGAGTATAGCATTTCACCCTCAGACGGACGAACAGTCTAAACGCTGTCACACCTCCTTTTTACCTACATCCGCAAGGGCATAAGGGAGTTTTTCCAATTAAAGGATAATCGAAAACGGGATTTATTATTAAAGATTTAGAGTCGCCACTTGGGAGATTTATGGTGTCCCAAGTCACTGGTTGAATCCCGAATCGAGGAAAAGATTGACTCTGTATTACAGTTCGCGAACCAGAAATCTGAGTAAGGAATTTTGTTCACCCGGGAGAAGGTGTTAGGCATTCCCGACTTTCGTGGTTCTAGCACGGTCGCTCAACTGTTATATTTGGCTTAAATAATCTGATTTTAACAATTATGAATCTATGTGCAAATTTTAACCTTAACCGCTTTTATTCATTTTTAAAGAAAATTGCAAAGTCATTAAAACAAGTCTTAAACCACGTCACATAAATGCACTCGTGGTTTTTGGACATACTTTAACATCGTAGGGATTTGGATTTGGGTCACATAAATGCGCACCCGAGTTTAGGGAGGTAATGTTATTAAAATACGCGCCTAAAGAGACTAACGCGTTATTATTTTGGGGAAGGTCGTGAAATTCGCTAAACGGCCCGTCCCGAAATCTAAGTATTTTAATATATACAATTGTCGAGGGCCCCGCAATTTATGTATTTTGTTTAGCGAGACTCATCCTGTTTTATTATTTTAAAGTGCAAACCTA